GGAGGCTTTCAGATACTCTAGAATGGACGACCTTTAAAAATACAACAGAAAGGGGCACCAAGCCTCTTGGACAGGATTTGACACCTGAAAGCAGGGGAATGGGATTTTTAGTTTTAGTAAGGGTTTTACGGCACTTGCAACACAATAAGGGCATAATATAAGAGCAGAAGATTAGAGGTGTTACAAGAGAGTAACAAACATAAAAAAAATGGAGGAGAGATAAGGACGATAGTTGTTTGATAGGAAAGAAGGAGCAAACCACACCAGAACACCCACCAACCACCCACGAGGGGACGGGAAGGGGGATGGGGGGATGGGGGGATGGGAGGGGAAGGGAGGATTCTTGGATTTAAAAAAAAATACAGTGGGAAGAGATCTATATAGACTATGCAATGGGAAAAGGCTATCCACAGTCAAAGATTTAGTCCTTGCATAGCAGAGATCATAGAGAGAAGCTTTGATTCAACAGGATACCAAACTACACATTGAAGAGAATTATACTGCTTGACGAAATGAGAGTAACTCTTTTTTCTGTATCTACCACCTGAACAGATCTGAACATACATCCCAGCACAGGATTGATTGAAGAGTGAAAGAAAGCACACTGCTGATAAGGACATTAATATCACTGGAAAAGCAGGAAGAAAATAATGCCTCTAAATATCTGGTCAGTCAGAGAGAGATACATGCTCCTTGAAATATAAATAGGCCACACGATTCTTCACAAGAAAAAGGAGTACAAGATGAGGATTACTTGAGATATAGCCAGACAGCACTGTTAGAGGAAGACTTCATCAAGTATGGATTATGATAAAAGTACCACTGAGAAGATTAAGGACCAGAAAACTTTAGAGCCTTCATCAACCACCTGCCGTCAGTGAGAATGAAACAGAAAAGGAAGGAAAATACTGAAAAACAATAACTGTATCCAGCATCTGCGCACAAACATGCCATAGTAAGATGCAGAACAGGAATACTCATAAAGGAGAAAGCTTTAAGAATCAAACACAATTCAAAACAGAAATGAAAGAACAAAATCAAAAGGAGGGAGAAAAAGACTTGACAGCTTGTCTCAACCCTTAAAAACACCCCATGAGCCAAAACAAAAAAAGTAGCAAACCACAAAACTACGATATGACAAAAATTGTAGCATTCTAGAAGAAAGAAGTCAAGAAGTGAACAAGACAAAGCAAACACACTGCACGCATAAAACTTACAATTCCTTTGTGAGCTCCTTCTGATAAGCTATTGGAGATTGGAGAGCTGGAGAAAACAAAAGAAAATACAATAGAAAAGAGACGATACATGTGGGGTAAAGATTATCAACATATGCAATCATATCTTCAGCCAACTCACTGTTCTTCGAGATTTTTAAAAATCTCAAGTATACTTTGGTAAGCTTTCTTATATACAGAAAAATTTAAGGTCCATTTTCATCTCAAAACTCTGCTGTGATACTGCAAAGTTAATTAAAGAGATGAACATAGATCATATTATGTAGGCCATAAATAAAGATATAATTCTTTGCAACTAAGGAGGTGTCTATTCTCATTGCACGATTTTTTAAACAAAAACTGCATCCTTAAAAGCAGTCTGACTGTCTGCAAAGTTAGATTACGAAAGAAAGAAAAGCATAGTAACACTTGGAAATCATATTTAAAATAGCCTTCTTTATTAACCAAAAAAACACAACAGTAAATATTATCTAGCTGTAAAAAGTTGTAGAGTAAACATATGGAGAACGAGATACCATCATTCTTTTCCTACTGATAAAAAGCAAAACACAATGTAGGTCCCACTTAAGATTATTTAGCACCAAATTGTAGCATGTGCAAACTAAGAGTAAAACCCTCTGCGAGAAGGAAACAGAAGCTGGTGAACTACCTCATATCACCCTCAAAGAATGGCAGCACCTAATACTTGAATTATCACCCAATTATCAGTCCTCTTTCCATTTCATACTATCAACCTAATATGTGCTCAATGATGCTATAGACAGACTACATTTTCGAACAAAGTCTCTCAACCAAATGGTTACAAAATACCTTACATAGTGTGGATCATTGTCATTCACAACTACGTTTTCTTTTTTCCATTTCTTTCCATTTAATTGATCCGCTGAGTCGAGCATAAAGTGAGACAACACATGAAAAGTTCAAAATCAACGACCAAAACACAATTTTAAAGTTCTTCCAGAGTCGGGTAATGCACGTTTCCGCAAAACAGAGTAAAAGAACACTCAATAACTCGACAATGAGAAAGGCCAGAAACAGCTGTAGGTAGACTCACCCCTCAGGAAATCTCCTTGCATATCCAGTATAGATCTAATCTGCTTGATCCACGTGTCTTTGTTCTCCTCTGAGTTGGCCTGGACAATCATCCTCACGTCTGAGCCAGGAGTTCGGTCAGTCAGCTGAAAGCGCAGCGGCTCCCCTTCCACACGGTCATTCAGAGACATTTTGTTCACCTGCAGTAAACAAAAGCATGTTTTAGTTTTAGTTTACATCATCAACACATCTATCATATTTTTAGACACATAATGTCATCTTTCTACGGGAGCAGTGATAACAGGAGCTTTCAAGTGATCTTGCAACCTAACAAGGTCTAACGACCATATAAAATATAATGCCATTTCAATAAGGGGCACGACGCGGTGGAATCAGGCTCTCGTCAATTTTTGGGAATACAGAGTTGATGGTACCATCTTAAGGCCTGTCCATTTTCCTTGTTTTGGGTGAATATAATATTAATATCCATCCATGTTGAATAGAAGTCGAGATATGTGCGACTGAAGGAGGTGAGGGTCATCTGGTTTCAGAGGTAAAATTATCGAGAAAATGGCTGCCAAATTTGAGTTATTTCTTTAGCTTGAGAGTCCGTGGGAACTGAAAATTTACATTTCTTCCGCCTTTAATCAATGTTTTCAATGAAAATGCGCTCTTTAATGGGCAAGAAAGTTATTGAACCAAAAAAACAAAAATTCAACAAAAATTCCCTAGCCTGCGGGAAAATTCCAATTTCTTGGCTTTCATTATTTTGACGAGCGCCTAATTTCACCACGCTGCCTCACATACATTTGATATATATATATATGTGTGTGCACCCCCCCTCACTTACTCACTCTCATACTCTCTCTCTCTCTCTCACACACACACACACACACACACACACACAAACACACACATGAGAGCGGACTATCCATACCTTGAGGCTGTTCTTGAATATATAGGAGGCATTTGAGAAGTTTCCTTTCTTTCTCTCTATCATCTCGCTGAAGATGATGATTTGTTCAAAAAGGAACACCCGACGTTCCTTGAACTTCTGCTGACCCCCAGAGGAGACTTCTGACACCAACAGTGTATCCTGGGGAGGACAAACAGAAACAAAAGTGAGCTAGCTGGTAGAAGTAAAGGAACATTTTTAATGAGGAATCCAAAAATGTTACAATGAGTTTCCAGCGTTCAATTTGGTGTTTTTAAACATGGGACATTACCAAATCCAGTTTGACCGGAGCTACATAACATCAAAAAGAGGCTTCACCAAACATCCCTTTCCCCCACTATGACCCAACATTTCCTGATTACTCTTTTGTAATGAAAAGCATTGGACATCATGATATATGAATGTACAAAACAATAAAGTTCCTGAGTGAAAGATTCAAGAATTATTGATTTCCGTTGTTGCTAATATTCGAGTTGTGACAAAACAATCTAAGAATGAAGTCCACAGTGCAACTGACCTGCAACAGCAGCTTTCCTTGAGCTGTGAGCTTGCCCTGAAAATATCAATCAAGAAAAAAACATTATCTACAATATAGTTATAACTAAGGATATCAATTTAAAAAAAACATTAACCACAATATAGTTATAGCCTAACTAAATAGTATGTGATTCAAACAAGCAAGAGCCAACTCCGAGAAAAAAAGCACTTAAAATATACTTTGCTTTTCTAAAAATAAGTCAACAGACTGGTGGAAAAAAATGATGGAAAAGATCTAACAAAGACAGGGGAGATAATACACAAAAGACAAAATGGCATGAAAGTAGACATCTGGGACATAAGGGAGGCTAGGGACATCAGACATCGTACCACAAAAATAGAAGAAAAAAATATCAAGGAAAAACCCTGCACTGTTTGAATTCGATTTTTACACGGTAGTATCGAGAGCACAACAGCAGAATAGAACAATGAACAATTTTTTAAACAAACTACACGAAAAAATATATACTAATTTACTATGGGTTTAGACGGGCAGAATATATCAGGATACAGGATAAAAAAAAAAGATGTACAGAAGATCACTACAGAGTACTCACGTCAAAGCCTTGCAGACGTCCAACTTGCATCATATCATTAGCTGCTTTAGGCACGATGCACATGACACGCAAGGCTTTCTTCAGCTCTGTGGGGTCCTCTTCCGCTTTTTCTGTGTACTTGAGAATGTCCTGGAAGGGAGAAAGTAAACAAAAGTTAAACTAAAGGCAAAACCTATAGTTTTTACAAAAACACCAGAGAATTGGTAAAAAGTTCTAAGTTGACATCCATTTTTTCAAAGACAGTGTGCTTGTGTAAGTGTGTGTGTGTGTGTGTGTGTGTGTGTGTGTGTGTGTGTGTGTGTGTGTGTCATGCATGAGAGGCAGGAGTCTCTCTGCATTATCGAAAATGTTGAGACGGAGTAATTGTGAAGTTTTGTGGCTTTGCATGCCTATCCAAAAAGCTCAGAAGACTTCACTACAGTTGCAAAGTCATGCCAATTTGCTAGTAAATGCACCTATCAAAAGAAACATATCAAAATCACCCTCAAAATATTCACCAAAATGTAATAAAGTAAGAGATAATATTTGAACTTTACAGACAGAGTTGGAAAAAGAACTTATTCTATCGGTGTGGAGGCAACCATCACAGAAAACCCTCAAGCAATGAGCCCAGGTCACATCCACACAAGAATGATCCCAAATATAAAAGTGAGATTTCAAAAATATTTATGCAGACTTACTTTGAGCAACAATTGATAGCGCATTATCCTTTGCACTGGTTTGATCAACAGGTCTGGCAGCATAAGTCGATGACCCAGTTTCTGGCGTACCTCCTGAAAACAAAGAGAACTTTTACGTTATGCCAACACATTACAAATTGACACATGACTGAATAGAAGCTAAAATGTTACACAGAAGAAAAATTAACTCTCCTCATTTTGTATGTGTCCAGAGCCCTTTTATTGGCAGTTGTCAGAGTAACAGAACAGAATAATACATTAGGCATACATTAGAGTAGAGACTGTAAAAACTAAATTTACTTTTAATTAGAGTTTTATGGCACTTGGGACACAAATATGACAAAAAGAGCCTTACATCAATTGTGTAACCTTTGAGTAATATGAAAAAAAATACCCAGAAAGAGAAAAGATGATAAAAACTGATGTTTCAGTTTTAGTAAGAGTTTTACGGAACTAGCAATACAATAAGGTCGTATAAGTGCCAAAGAATAGAAGTGGGAGCAAACCATCCCAGAGCAGATGCCAACCACCCATGTCAAAACCAATAAAGGACTCCTTAAAACAGACAGCAAAACACAACACAAAGAATCAACACTATAATTATTCAATTTGTCAGGTCTTCTTGACCTCAATAGACCAATAAACAACTCACCTCAAAATAGGTGTCAAGGTATTCTGAGACGACAAATTCAGACTTGGGTTTATTTTCGCAGTATTTTACATACATGTACAATCTCCGCTCCTGTTGAGATGAAAGAAAACACAGTGTCAGGGAAAGTCCAGGTACCAATAGGAACAAATATTACAAGCAATTAAAGACAAGTTCACTGACATAAGCTGACGGTTCAAACATTTACTCTTTGTCTCTTCCCTATCCTCTAATTGCTATCCTCCAAGTTTATAACCTTATATCTTTAAAAGTCTCCTGAAGTCTCGCGTAAGAGGCATTGTGTCAAAAATTAATAGTAGTCAGGCAATTACCTAAGCAGTAATGAATGTGTAATCAGTGCATCTTGGTCTTATGGTTTTCTTTACATTTCTAAATCAAGAATTGTCCCCACAATTCTCTACAATAAAATCAACATTCGCATACAACTCAATCCAAGTTTCTGTACAATCCAGTTCCATCCAGAGATTAGTGAAATTACATGAGAAAATTATAATTGTAGGTGGTTTTACACCCCAATCAACACTATTTAGATAATCTAGGAGGTGGGCAGTGTAGACCATGCCTGTCAGGGCCAACTTAGGTGAAAGAGACACAAAGTCCCAAGAAAAGACTGAGATACTATAAAAACTTCCCCACGGTTATCGACTACACGTCTTCGTCATATGATGGTGAAGTTACATCTACAAAAGAACTTCACTCCACGAAGGACCACCATCTTCCTATGTCCATATATAATGTTTACCACCCGGAAAATCCAAAAGTTCGACGGATCCGAACTTCCATAAATAAAGACAGGTAATCAGCAGGATAAAGCTTCCACTGACAAAGACAGGTAATCTAAAAGATAAAACTTCTACTGAAAATGACAGATAATTAATCCCACGACATAAATAAACAATAAATACTATTTTTAAAAAGTCATTATGATAAGAGCGTAGTACTCACATAACGGATGAAAATAGAGCCAACTCTGCCAGGGTTTGCAAGGCATTTCTCTAGCTCTGAGAGCATTGTTCTGAAAACACACACAGTTAGACCAAGAATTATTTGTGAGGCAACAGGGTGAAATCGGGTGCTCATCAAAATAACAAAATCGGAGAAACAGGCATTTCCCCCCCCAGTTTGGACATTTTGATCGAATTTTTATTTTTTGGCTTAACATCTTTTGTGTCCATATAAAAACACATTTCCAGGTGAATTTTACGGAAAAACATTGATTAAAGGCACAAAATATTTCAGTGTTCAAAGAATCTTTAAGCTATTGGAGTTACTAAACTTTGGTGGCCATTTTCTCGCTAATTTCACCACTGAAACCAGGCGATCTCACTTCTTTCAATCACAAATATCCTGAGTTCTATCCAAGATAAACGAATATTATTTCAATGAAAACAAGACAAATAAATTAGCTTTCAGGAACTACCAATAACTCCATATGTCCAAAAATTAAAGAGCGCTCGATTCCACCACGTTGTGGCACATTCATTTGCATTAAATAGACATGTGCAAACAAAAAATGGTGTATGTGTATACAAGGTTATATTTGTATTATGTGTATACATGCATGCGCATGAGTGTGTATGTGTGTGTGTGTGTGTGTGTGTGTGTGTGTGTGTGTGTGTGTGTGTGTGTGTGTGTGTGTGAGTGAGTGTGTGTGTGCAGAAACATAGCATGAAGCAGAGGGGTAACTGAAACTTACTCATTGTGCCAGTCATAAATCTGGTGAATGTTTCCAAACACAATTTTGTCCTTGCCAACCATGTCTTCTGGCAGGGGGTTGTCTCGCATCACTGCCATGTAGCCCTGGGAGAGTGACAGTAGGTTAATTTGATTGCGAAATCCAACCCTAACATCCTTTAAACAAAGAAAATTATCATGCTCCCATTAAAGCCTTCATTCATATCAAGACAACATACCATACAATCCAATGGTTAAAACAAACAAATATACAGTCAAACCTGAGTAAGACGGCCACCCATTGTCAAGGAGAAAAGTGGCCGTATAAGATAGGTGGCCGTCTTAGGCAGGACTGATCATGATGAAGAAAACAAACCATTCAATTTGAGGTCCCAATCGAAAGGAGCCGCGTTGTTGTTTTTTGTTCTTGTTGGTTTGTATTTTGTTTGTTATTTTTCTTTTATTGCTGATTTTGCGCAAGGGTGACAATAAAACAAAATGTGTCAGACAAAGAGGACCTAGTGCCACGTTAAAACAAATACACGAGTCGCCACCACTCGGAGAATGAGCGATGCTTCTGTCACAAATTCATGTTGACGTCCATTGTTACTTTGTAACAGACTGGGTAAACAGTGACCACTCATCTCACTTACGACTTGTGTATGAGTTCTATCACACGCTTACCTCACCAGCAGCTGAAAATTTGTTACCTATTGGTCAGCAGTGGGAGGGGCCTACACAACATGAGGGACTACTTAACAACAATGACAGGGGACTGGATTATGAAGGCTCGCCCACAACGCCAAGGGTCAATGCACAAATTATGAAAAAGCGTAATGGAGTCACTAAGGTGCCCGTCTAAGACAGGTGTTATTGCTTGGTGTGATAGGGGTTAAAATATGGTGGCCGTGGCCGCGTTGGACAGGTGACCGTTTTACAGTTAAATTTTATAGAAAAAACGCAAGGGGGGAAATGGAAAGTGGCCATTTGTACAGATGGCCGTCTTATAGATGTGGCCGTCAGGGCAGGTTTGACTGTATATATATATA